TTTCATTTGACAATTTTATGAGTTTTAGTAACCCGCCAACCCAACCCAACCCGCCCTAACCCGCAAGGGTTGGGTTGGGTTGGGTTATATTTTTGAATGGGTTGGGTTGGGTTGAAATTTTTCAAACCGCCGTAATTGGGTTGGGTTGAAAAAACGTCATAAACCGCCCAACCCAACCCGTGTTCACCCCTAATTATTACTATACCAACTTGTATCAGTGTCCGTAGATGTACACTATTACACCGACAATGACAATGACAATGACACCATGTTAACTTATTATATACGTCATTTATCATCTCTATATAATGGGGGCATCAACCATATTCTCTTGTTAGTTGTTAGCATTTCATTTCGTATATGGGACTTTGATCCATCTTGTAATTAATCATTATAGTAGAGATGGAAAATCCGAATTAATAAGAAAATTAAATGAAAATGCTAATGCTAATTATGAGCAGAAGATGGTAAGGTGATGTTTTTCAAGAAATGAGCAAAGAGTGTAAGAGCAAGCCTTGGGCGATCCATTGGAACTTCATGACCTGCCCCCTTCACTGTCAGATACGTCATCCCCTCGTATACTTGGCTCCATCCACCAACCTATACATACATACACCACGTACTTCTTTAACTATACATGCATTTTCATCATTTCTAACTTAGATTTTAATTATGATATATATATATATCCCTGACTATACCTTATCCTTGTCGTACCAGGCATGCCAGTCAATTAGGGTTTTCAAGTTCAAAGCTTTGATGGAGTAACGGGTGCCCGTCAATGGCAGTACAGCATCTGTGTCACCACTGTTCATTTTCATCACAATTTAAACCATTAACTAATTACTTCACTTTCATCACTACGTATTCATCAAACACAAATTAAATAGAATTCATGCTAAATTACCTAAATACCCATATCCGAATACCGGCCTTGATGAGTTCCTTGAAAATTGGAAGCATCGTGGTGGGCGAATCCGTCCAACTTCCCCTAACGATATCACTATAAATTGAAAAAAATTTAGAAACGTTATATTACTTACATATACCTACATATATTGTATGATCATAAAACGAAGAATCGTGTGAGAATAAGAGTTAGAATGAGAAGCGTAAGGAGGGATCTTCTCGCCCCTATGAATTGCACTTGATACATCTCATAATTTGTTGATCGTCAATTAAGATTGATCTAAGGGTGGAAATCTCTTCTTACCCTTCTCATTACAACTCTCATTCTCACCAGAACCCATAACTATATAAATTATATGTTTATCGAATGTTTCAGTCATTTATTTATTTGGTTTTAATGTATATTACCTGCAAGTGATCCATGGATAAGGCAATCGCGTAACGTTCGCATGAAAAGCCTTTTGTACATCGGGCCGATTCATGTATATTTTCGTGTGCTTTATAATGCAATTGTCGCTCCCTCTGAACATCCATGGCTGAAATTAAAACGGAATATTATAAATGATGTAGACGCCTACTCCTTTCGTCCTAAAATAAGTGTCAACATCTATTTTAATTTGTAAGTATCCATTTTTAGAAATAAGCGTTTACTTTACCATTCTACCTTTAATCATAAGATTGATAAAATTCGCTCTGTACTATAACGAGTAAAAATTGTCTTTTAGTTGATTAAAAAATGTAAGAATTACACAACTATAAAATGAGTGTGGACATTTATCTTTGGGACGAATGGAGTACTAAACGAGAAAAACGAAGTAACGTACGTGAGGTAGCCGGGTGCCTAATTCATGACAAGGAGGGTCGTAAATGCCGTAGAAATTGATGTCACCAAATTCAGAGTACGCTTGTAGCAAATATCTGTAACAATCTCCACTCGGAAACAAGAAAGAGTCGTACGGGCAGGTCTCGTTTAATATCTGATACGTGGTGTCCGATATTAACCCGTGGTTCCACCAGAACTCGAATGTCCCGATGTTGTCGTGGTAATCGTCCAGTAACGGGTTTCCCACCTGAATTCCAACCAAAAATTAGTATCACAAAATTAACAACTTAACTAACTAGGAATCAATTAATCAAATTAAGCTGCATACCAAGAAACCTTTGAAGTTGATTTCAGGATTCTTGACACCTTTGTTTAACCGGACTATGATTTGAGATAGCTGCGGAACGTAGTGACCTGAAAATTCAAAATTTGTCGATACCAACCAATATGGAATTTACCGATATGAAGGAGCACGTGTGAAAGTACATTGTTCATACAGTACTGCTTCATATGTGAAACGTTCACGACTGTTTTGTCTATGGAAAAAAGCAGTTCTGAACGTTTCACATATGAAATAACACTTTGTGTGAAAGTATGCTGTGATCGATGCTAACCTGCATAACTTTCGCCGGCAATGTAAATCGGCCTATGCTTATATTGAGGAAATCTGAGAAGCCAATTGACAAGAAACGCATACGCATCTTTGGCTGCAGATTAATCTCCAAAGATTATAATAAAAATCATATGAACAACATTGTTTAATTTGTATTGTCAAAATTCATTAAGTGTGCTTTTCAACGATTAGATCGATCCTTTGAAAATCGGGAAAAATACCTACCTGTTCTTTGATCGCCGGTGATTTGGTCGAAGGAAGTGTTCGTGTACGAAAAACCAACTCCAGCCGGAGAATCGATGAAAAGAAGATTGGCCTCTGCATTACCATCACAATTAATATTCACTACCGCAAAAACGGCCACTCTCGACCGTCGTAAAAGATAATTACATGTCGGTTTTAATGGCTTTTCGAATGAACAAAAAGAGATCAAATTAAGATATGTGGATAGAGAAATTGCCTTTGTTCCAAGCATATGGACTTATGGAAAGAGTTTTTCCATCGGGACCCACCCGAAAGGGTCCCACTTCCTCGAACGCCCCATAGGCTATGGAGGAACACCCTGGCCCACCGTTGAGCCAAAGTACAAGAGGTTTAGACGATGCAGGGCCGTTATTGGTTGGAACCTCAATCAACCAGTAGAAAAGAGCTCGTCCCTGCTTCTTATCCACTGTGATATAACCTGAATACTGATGAAAGCTGACATTTGCGGGCTGTCCAGGCAAGCTCACGATCTTGTCTTTGAGGCGTTGGTAGCGGTGTTGGCGGGCGGCAGCAGTGGTGGCGGCGGCGGTGGTGGAGTGAAGAAGGGTGATGAAGGCCAAAAGAGAAACGAGTAAAGACGAGATCTTGGAAAAATGGCCTTTCATGACTCCTCAAAAGGCTCGATCGACTTCAATTTGGAATGTGTTAGGGATCTGTGACATTATATGCATGTTCAATGGTAATTAGAGTGCAAACTAAGAAACTATCAGTTTGCTTCAAAACAAACCCTAATCTTTGATTTTAATTTATTATGGGGGTGTTTGGGATTGCTTATAAAAACAACTTATTGACTTATTCCGGTGCGACACCGATGATAAGCACTTTTGAGTGTTTGGATAAACTACTTATACCGGTGTCAAACCGATAATAAAGAAGTTTTTGAAAAAATTAAACCATTCTGACTTATAATAAGTTATTAAATATTTTTATAAGAAAATATAAATTATTTCAAATAAGTAATCAAACAACTCTTAATTGTTTATAGATGTTTAATGATAAATCTCGAGAAAAGAGAAAATGAAGCCTAGACTTGGCCTGGCTCACGATCCCACCTTCTTTGACCATATTTATTAGGTGTGAATAACTATTTTTAGAGGAAATTACACTTTTAATCCTTGTAGTTATCATCCATTATCAACTTTCATCATTTTCTATAACTAATTACAATTTTAATCATTAGTGGGGATCAATGTTTTTCCTTGACGATTGTGGTGGTTTACGGTGACGGGTGAAAAAGGATATAAGAGCGGTGGAGATGTGGGAGGATTAGGAAAAAAGATTGAAATAAGTTCGGTTTGGTAGGGAAGACATACGATAATAAGGGTGGGTGGGATGTAATATATCTTTAATATATTAATATTTGTAAAAGAAAATGAAGTAAAACATAAAAGACTAAAACAACCCTGAGTTAACAGTGTTGTTAACAGTTGTTAGCTATAAGAACCAAACATTTTAAGAATCTATAACATTTTCATTTTATAACAGTTGTATAACGGTTGTTAACATTTTCCGTTAACTTAGATTAAAAGAAAATCACTTCAACTTCATTTTCATTTTTGGAAACATATTTAAGAATATATTATTAAAGAATATATTTATTTACAATTTGAAGAAAAAAAATTTATTTTAAGGAATTTGTTTTTACCGCCGTCCGCTCTCAATCACCGTACATTGCCGTTGTTCTACTCGACACCGATCTCCCTCTTTTTTATCTTTTAATTTTCCCCATTTTCTAACATTTAGAAAAGCTGACAATTTTATAAACAGTTTTAATGTTAAATTTAACAAACTGTATTACAGTATCCTTATTATAAACAAATTAGTGGTATTTATATGAATATACATGACTACCTTATATATATATATATATATATATTTTTATTAAAATATATTTTTAGATAATTAAAAATACTCATTTTAAAGTTGTCATGAGAATGTGGAAGTTTAACAATGATTTGCGTTGATTATAACATTGTTTGGTATATTTGTAAGGTAAATTTAAATATTTTAATTACATTTAGTTATTTATTTTAAGCATGAATTTATTTGCAATTGCAAGTGACGACCAACCCCATAAAGCCAAGTTGGCCATGTGATCTTAATAAGTAAAACTTATGTACGCGATTTAATATTGCTGTCTACTCAACCCTTATTCAATAAGATTTAATATTTTTACTTTAACTTGTTGAGTAATATGATGCTAAGGGGTTGTTTATTTGCGGTTTAATTAGGTTTATTGGTTTATCTGGTTTATTTGCACAGTTTATTTTGGTTGTTTACTTACGGTTTATTCATACGGAACATGGCTTAATCGCACAGTTAAAAATGGTGTGTTGTCCTCATTCAGCCACAAAAATGACACCCTACCCCTTATTTAAAGCATCGCATCCTTCCCAAATGAGACATCTCATCGTCAACCTCTTTATGATTTTTTGTTTTGATGTTTAAATAATTAATATTGGAAGATAAATCGGTCATTTATGTTATTCAGACTGTTGGTTCAGATAAAAAAAGTAAACAACACCACCCATTTATCCATACAGACAAATTTATCCATATATGACATAATGGAAATTTTGATAAACAGCCCCTAACATTTTTATTGGGTAAGACTCTCGATGAACGTCGTTGCTCTTATCGGATAAGATTGCTAATTATTGTCAACTTCATCCGATAAAGTAAATGACATAATAAAGACTTATCGGGTAAGCGTTTATAAACGGCCTCTTAATTTAATTTTATACGTCCAAATTAGTTTTTAAAAACATTTAAAAAAGTACAATTTATGTTGAATTTGAGGGTAACTTGCTTGAATTCGAAGATAAACAGCGAATAATGCCATTTAACACGGCCTATTCCAAGCCCAAAATATGGGGCAAGGCTTCCACTCATTAATTAATTAATTTTTATTTATTATTATTATATAATACCAAAACAATAAATAAATAAAAACGTGGAAAGTAAGGTACAAAAAATAAGTCAACGATGGGAAAATTGAGAGAAAGGAACTCCATTTACATCTGTTAAACGTAATTAATTTTTTTTATTGTTCAATTTATTTTATGTAATTGAATTCATAAGATAGTGCAAGGACTGTTAATTAAGTTATAATGGTAAGAATTACAAAGTCGTATAAGCTAACTAAAACCCGACAATGTTGAATGACACCATATGGCAAGGATCAAGGAACGTACCACTAGCGGTTTTTAGTGTCGAATGGTTAACAACGGGTATTTATCCACAATGATTGCATTTGATGTGTAGCAATCTATGAGAATCAGCCGAAGAAATTACCCACTGATATGCTATCAACTGATGGTTACACATTGTTAAGTTAACAACTAACGGTCATCAATTTAACCGCCCTCTACTTATTCTCAACAATCATTTTCAATTATCGGGAAGTTAATTCTCAACATTAATATAAGAACGGTTACAATATTCAAAGTTTAAAAGCTAATGATTTCTGCCAAAATCAATACACATTTGAGATAATCCTCGAGCTTAATTTCGTAATACATCGACAAAATTGGGTCGAAATATAACTTCAAGAAACCAAGCTCTCACGCGATCTAAGTTTGATCCAAGTTTTATACCCACTATTTTCTCCCTATTCTCTAGAATTGGATCGAATTCGAATCTATACGAGTAGGGTTCTATATTTGTTTGTAAAAGTTACCTGCTTTGTATCTTCACTTTAGTTGTGTGTTTGTTCCAACTCCTCACGTAAGAAGGCGGGTGGTAATGGTGCTGTTATCTTTAACACCTGCAAGCAAACAAGTCTCTACATTTCAAATTCAAAAAGTAGAAATTAACTATGATCATGTAAAATCATGAAAGCAAATGTGAATACAACTCTAAAAAACCAAACCCGTATTTGGTATATCTCATTCAGAAGCAGGTCCAAGAGAGGTAAGATGTAGGCCGACCTTTCATCTCCTCAATGGAGAATAAAAGATTTAGGAATTCATGAAAAGGTTTCGAAGCTTTGGAGGAGTTATGTAAGAGCAAGAGAGAGTGAAATACTTGCAAAGAACTTGCGTCAAAAGCGAAGTACAATCTGGCCATAATTATACACAAACCCAATAAAGTGTACAAACTTTGCAAATCAGTTTTCACATATGAAACATGCGTGAAAATGTTGTGTTATACAATGTTGTTTCAGGACTGTCTTGTGTACGAAAAAACAGTCCGGAACGTTTCACATATGAAACAACACTGTATAAACATTAAATTTTCATATGTATATGTAACAGCACAAGAAAACCGGTTTGCAAGTTTGTACGAATTATCTGGTTTGTAACAGAAGGGACTCTAGAACGATATAACAATGTAATGGTATAGGAGAAATGGGGAACAGGACTCTAATTATGTTTCCAAAAAGAAAACTCAAGCTGCCAGAAATTAACAAAGAAACACTAAATAGTACTTGGCAACTAGAATTTGTGTTCACTGCTTTCTGCCAATTTGATCTTTTCTTTTTGCATTGAAGTGTCAAATACGATGGTTCAAAATGCTAATCACTGATTGAGTAACTTATCTAGACTTTGAATTTCAATCTAGAAAACAGAAACACAAATCAGGGAAAAGATTATATAACAATCTGCGAATAGTTGAAGACATGCCTCATCTGTGATTGGATGACAAAGAACTAATTGATGAGCATGCAGGTAGTATCCACAGTCTCCAGGAACAGGATTTGCAGGCCTGTGATACCCTCTAAAAAGGTCAAACAAAACCAATTATTACATGCAGTTAGCTCGAGGAAAGATAGAATTTAATTGATTCCCCTTCTTGCATATGGGAAAACAAAGATAATACTTTCAATATACATGCAGTAAACCAAACAACTATATAATTCCAAAACTTTGTGATGTTACTATTTGTGCCCGGTTGTGATTCAAGCTGCCGAATTGATATTAGTCCATCCATTACAAATATTGTTCGTCGCATTTGATTAAGAAGCAATTCGTATTAAGAACTGACCTGAAAAATGAGAGTCCAATTCTAAAAGAAATTTCGTGGAAGTTAAAATTACATTTGTTGACTAAGAGCATATAATTCTAAAAGCCGTGCCATGAGTTCTTAGGATGGAGTAGCATTATTTTCTTAAACCAATACAAAATTTAGCAGGATATGTAGTGTGTGATAGAAGCCTATTAGTCCGGTCGCCGACCTGGCTAGACATAGAAGTGCTCAAATATTCCGACTAAAGTCCACTTTCGGTCCTAGAGGAACTCAAGACGGTTGCGCTAGGGAAAAGGGGCCAGGCCATATTGAAAAGCAATGGGAATGACTAGGTCAGCCCTTGTTTATATCTAAATCTATCAAAAAGAATTCCCTCTTAACGAAAATATCATCGTGAATAGAAAGAATATACATCAATTTACATGTTTATTTATATAAAGAAATATAAAGGTGAGCTTGGTGGTAACTTATGGTGGTTGTCATAGATATATGATCCTATAAGAAGAATCCCATGAAAGAAGTAACAGAGGTGTATATGCAATATTAAGCTAATGGCTGTTTCTGATTCTGTAGGACATAAATTGTGGGCCTACAAAAGGGAGCCAATCAAGAAGCTCATACTCACAAGAAGCATCCTGCCAGTAGTGTGGATCCCCTAACCCTTGGGAAGGACGAGAAAAACTTTATATATAACCTTAGGATAAGTACATTACCCATCTTCCGCACACGTTTCATCTATAGTTTCAGGAGCAGCACACTTTGGTTTCCCACCAATAATATAAAGTGGATCACCTGTTAAGCAACACTTTTAACTCAAATTGCAGAGGTATGGAGTAATATGGCATCCTATTATTATGGAGTCTAATAGGACATTTTTTGAGAAGCGTCCTACATTGTAATGTCTGATAAAACGCTTTTCAAAAAGCGTCCTATAAAAAGAGTTAATAGACACTTATATTAGTTCCTAATAGGCTAATATGGCGTCCTATTTTTATAAAATTGAATAGGACATTTAGTTTAAAAGCGTCATATAAGCCAAGTCTAATATAGGACATTTTTTGAAAAACATCCTATAAACCAAGTCTATTACGACACTTCCAAAAAGTGTCTTATAAAACCAAGTTTATTAGGACACTTTTCAAAAAGCGTCCTATAAAACTAAGTCTAATATGTTACTTTTCAGAAACATCATAAAATAAATAAATATATAACAAAAAAAATTATTACTGTGAATTTCATAGATTAAAATCTTTGATTTACCAAAAAAAACATAAAAAGTTAAATACTTATTAACCCTATTTAATAGCTATGTCCAATGAGCTCTATCATAACTCAAGTCGTGAAATCAAAATATGCTTCTCATAAACGTGAACTTCACACTCATAGCTCATAAACATGAAATCAAAATCTGATTCATATTTGTTCGACCCTCATAAACATGAACTTTATAGTTCACACTCATCGCTCTCATGGTCCGCTCGCATTTGGAATGTTAACCAGTTATGTTCTTAATTAAAATTGATTTTGTTCTTAGTTCTTCTACTTGATTAACCAATCTGATTATGTTCTTTATCCTTTTACTGGATTAACTAATATGTTATTATGTGGTTTGAAATTTGTCCAAGTTGTATTGTGGATTTCAATTGCACGATTGTTGATTTCAAGTTGTACCTCTCTATTTCTCTCTCCTCGGTCTCCATCCTGTTATATTGAAGTAAACCTGTGCTCTCTAATATAATCAACAACATACGACCATTTAGATATTAGAGAGCAAAGATTTACCTCAATATACCATGATCGAGATCAACGAGAGAAAAATAGAGAGATACAACTTGAAATCAGCAACCGTGCATATTAAATCACAATACGACTTGGACAAATTTCAAACCAAATAATAACATATTAGATAATCCAGTAAAAGAATTAAGAACATAATCAGATTGGTTAATCAAGTAGAAGAACTAAGAACAAAATCAATTTGAATTAGGAACATAATCAGTTAACATTCCAAACCTGAGGCGATTGCTTAATAAGCTGGAAAATCGAGCCCTAAAAATGTGAATGGACCATGAGAGTGATGAGTGTGAACTGTGAAGTTCACGTTTATGAGCGTCGATCAAATATGAAGCAGATTTTGGTTTCACATTTATGAGGCACTAGTGTGAACTGTGAAATTCACATTTATGAGAAGCCGATTTTGATTTCACGGCTTGAGTTATGAGAGAGCCCATTAGGCTTAGCTATTAAATAGTCTTAATAACTATTTATTTTTTATGTTTTTTTGGTAAATTAAAGATTTTATCTAAATTTTAATCTATATAATATAAAATTCACAGTAATAAAACCCTTTTTTGTTATAAATTTATTTAGAAAATTTTATTTTATGATGCTTTTGAAAAGTATAATATTAGGCTTAGTTTTATAGGGCATTTAATGAAAAGGTTCCTACTAAACTTGGTTTTATAAGATGCTTTTTGAAAAGTGTCCTGATAGACTTGGTTTTATAGGATGTTTTTCAAAAAGCATCGTATTAGACTTGGCTTCTATAATTATTCAAAAAATAGGATCCTCGGTATCTAAATAGTTGGCTTCTATAGGAAAGTAATAGTGGAACATCTTGCAAATATTTCCCCATCCATTTCACACATAAAATCTCTGATAAGCACTTCCACTTTTTTGTACGAGTAGCTCTTATGCAAGAACAATAAAGGTTTCTCAACAAAAGGGCATATAACCAAAATACACACAACATAAGGTGTCAAGATTTTAAAAGTTCACCTATCAAAGGATGTCCAATGAAAGAAAGATGAATTCGGATTTGATGCGGCCTACCAGATTGAATCTCCACCTACTCACATTGCCACAAAACACAAGCATAAAAATTAGCTAAAAGATGTTTTCTTACAGTAAACATATACAGACAAATATTATCAGTTACTCTTGAACAAAAATTTCAAAGATTTTAAGTTATCAGCCTGACCATTTCTCGAGTGGGCATATGACTAATGTAAGCAACAGCTACAAGATTTAAAGTTTTAAACTCATATGATGACATTGGATCCCCTCATTTTATCGTTCAAGCCACAAATGTAAATTTTATGTTTGGACCAGCATTTAAGAAAATTTTGCTAGTTCAGATCTCGTTATAAGATGACTGACAATCTTATTTTCTAGTATATTTCTCCTGTCCATAAGATGTGAGATTTAGTAAAATACAAATTTCTCAGCACCAGTCCCTGATTCTATTTATAAAAGAAAAGATTAGGTAACTAAGGGGCCGTTTACTAAACGCTTACCTGGGTAAGTGCTTACCAAGTCACATTACCTTACCAGATGAATATGGTAAGGACCAAGAATCTTACCCGGTAAGAGCGAGACAAGGATCAAGAGTCTTACCCGGTAAGAGCGAGACAAGGATCAAGAGTCTTACCCGGTAAGAGCGAGACAAGGATCAAGAGTCTTACCCGGTAAGCGAGGGTGACGATTCTTACCATGGTAAGCGCTTACTGGGTAAATTGTTGCATACAATGCCGTTTTGGTGGACTAAATTCTTACCCGGTAAGTAAGCGGTAGTGTTAAATTTACCTGTAAGCGCTTACCGGGTAAGTGTTTAGTAAACTGCCCCTAAGTGTAAATATATGACTGAAAATCTGTATGTTCACGTTATAGAAACGATTTTTAGGAAGTATATGCTCTATTTTCTTAAAAGATATGGAGGTCAAGTGCCTGGATGAGATTCTTGTTTAGTAGTAAAAAGCATCAATATAGACCAATACACTTTGAAGAAACAAACAAGGGCTATATACATGCAGATATACATCCGTATTCACCATTATACGTCCATTCACTGCCAACTCCTTATTAAAAAATCTTAAATGAATTTAACAAACAAAAGAACTTCCCTTTCTTTTAAGTTATGCTCCTTGCCACATATGACTAAATTGAATGCCTCAATAATCAAATGCGGCCCATCAAAGAATTACAAAAAAAAAGTACTTGAAGAATTAGTTTTAAGGAATTAAAACCATGCTTAGCTGGTAAATAAGCTGACTAGATTTGATAGCCACAAGACCATATTGAGCTATTCAATCTTCAGGTCATTTTGTATTCTATAACCCATATTTTGTAATCGTCACTGGTTGGATGATAGAAGGATTTAGCTACCTATGTCCCCAAACAGACAAATAAAATGCAATAGGAAGGCACAAGCATAAGTGATTTTCGTGACTTTTATCATTTGTAATATTGTTAGAAATAAATCATGAGCAACAATAATCCATATTCAATAACAGTTCAGAGAAACACACTAGCACATAACTGTACATCTTTAAATCCAAGTACCTGAACAACTGTATGGTTATTTTGTACATCTCTCTTCAGAACACGAACTTTGCTCAATGCTGGTTTCCCTGTATAGAATGAGACATATAACAATGTTCAAAAATTATAGTCATCATGAATAGCTAAGGAAAATAAATTCAGCTAAAGATAAATTTTAAAAAATATCATGCTTCTGATTGCGTGCTGAATACTTAATCCTGGCATTTCCTCAACCATATTTTAATATTGAAACCAAATACATGGATGTTTTCTAAAATCCACAAATGAAAACAAAATGACAACAAACTGATCTTAGGATACCAAATGAACAAGGTAGGGAGTTATCGTGCATATCTAAAAAAATTACATCATTGTCAACTTGGCCCCTATAGAACATTTGGCAGGGGAAAAGTAGCAGTGTTTATGAGTTGGAATAAACATATCAAGCTGACAAAAGCAATTCCATTAGTGTAGTCAATATGCTGTCATGGAATTGGGGGAGAGCTCTGGGTGTGGGCTAAAAGTTACTCCCGAAGAAATTGCCAACTTCAGAAACTATTAGCGTAGTCGATATCCTAAAGAAACCATTTCAGACCAACAAGTATGTGCCTGTAAAGTGAGAAAACCTGATGTAGAAGCAACATATAATCCTTTAGCAACTCCAGTATATTTCAATGTTCCAATTGGCTGCTCAATGACCACCTGTAACATGATGTATTTGTTACTACAGCTTTTATGCAATTGTATCGGTCTATTTGTCTTAAGAATCCCCAAATATTCAAGAGAAATGGTAAAAATGTGAATACTTAAAGATAAAAACAATGTTACGAACTGTATGAAATGACCCATTTATGCATAACACAGAAAAAAGAACTAAAAGAAGCAGATCTGTTCAAAAGCTTCACCTCATCTTCATTTATAATTCCACATGCTAGTGCCCTGTATATCTTTGACATCTTCCCATGATTAACCCCCATGTTGATTTTTCTGCCCACGTAGAATTCTATTAGCTATGCCCAAAGACACAAAATTATGAATTGTTTTAAAACAAAAGGAAGATTTTCCTTCCCTAACCTGTTACTTGCAACTGCTGCTGTTTTATCAGCAAAAAGAGCTGCAAGCCGAGTTTTTGCGAGCTTTGTCTTCGCACAAAGTAATATTCCTGTCAGGGAGAAGAAATTGAAGAAGAATGATCATACGGTATCTAGAGTATAAACAACATTTGTTTAGTTTTACATAACAGTTAGCTTCAATTTTTGGGGGTTGGGGAATATCAGGAGAGCTAAAGTTAAGGTCCTACTGATATCAATATTTGGTTTTCTTCGTAATACCCTTTTAGAATATTAGCAATTCATTACCAATCCGAAGACAAAAATAAGTAGGTTTCTTAACAAGTAAATTACGAGTTATGAAAAAATGCCGATTGCTGCTGCCAAGTTATTTTCAAAAATATCAAGAACAAAAGAGAGATGTCCACAACATAAGGGAAAACATGATCAGCTGGATAATTCAAAGAGCAAAAATAAAATCACCTAACTTCAATCAACTTCTGTTCACTTGTATTTATCCCAAAATCATAATGGTTAATGTTACTTCGACAAATCTTTGGTTATAAACTATATCTATAATACAAAATACTTCCACAGAAGTCTATGCTATATTTACCGTGTAGTTAACATTTAAAAAAAGTAACCTGATGTGCCTCTTCCAAGCCGATGAACTGGAACGGGACATAATTCACGATCTGTCAGTGTGGGTCCTTGATTCTTTATATGCCATTGAAGTTGTGTCAGGACAGTTCGCTGCTGAAACAGTCCCCCAGGTAAAACTTGTAGACCAGACGGTTTGTTTAGAGCAATCTAAGCACAATAAAAAGAACAACTAAGCCGAGATTTAAATAACAATAGAGATAGCTAAACCAACATGCTGAGTATCGGTCCAGTATGGCACGATCCTACTTGAGATCTCTTCCTGTTTATATATTCTAATATCTCCATAGGGTACTTTTCGCCCAGCTGATAGAATAATAGGCTTTCCTTATTTTCTTTTAGACCAGACTCAAAACCTTGCTTGCGATGTATATGTAAAAAAAATTGAGGCATGATCACAAGATGACATGGTCTACAACTCTACATGTATCATTGCCCAACTACAGCAATCGTTAGATTGTAACAGAAAAGATGTAATGCAGATCCTCAGAAATGAAGATAGGTTCTAATGGTTCAAGGTTTTGAAAATCAACCTTATTTTCCAACTGAAATTGAATTCCTTCTTGCTTAAAGGGGTTTGAAGGGTAGGAACATTGATTTAGTGAGCAGAAGAATCAATTTTAAAAGAAATTCAGATCATCAGAAATCAGAAGCTTAAGATCAAGTACCAAATGATCATCTTCAAACAGAACCTCGAGCAAGTGTGGTGCATATGGTTCTTTCCACGGAAGTCTGTGATATACTAGTTCTGTACCACTCCTAACAAATAAAAACAATCATCATTTCAGTTGGCTAAATAATAATTCAATTGGATAAAATGTAACTAAATCCTCATTGCTGGTAGGAAAACCTGAGAACAGACTTTGGATCAGCAACAATTGTACCATTGACTGTTATCTGCAAGCCACAGAAGTTGTCATTCCAAGAAACACTGTGTCTTTGATACTCAGTCAAGAGTCAAAACTGTAATAGCAATTTCCAGATACCAACCTGACCATTTTCGATCCTCTGCAACCAACTGCTTCACAATTAGTACTATAAAGAAGCAACAAAAACCAATATATACACATATCGTATCATTGGCTTATTTCCATCCATGCTCCATTTGCACTTCCGACAATGCAAGAACCAAGTAAAGAGATTGTAGTCAAGTCCGTCTTCTTTCCTAAATCATCTAAGTATGCAAAACAGTCGCTTTATAATGCGCAGTTTTATTGTTAAATATACAAAGATCTTTAGGGCGACGATCAAACGGAGTGATAATTCAGTGTTTGCAATTAAAATTGAATCTAATTTAGTGAAGACGTTATTTCATTTCCTCCGATTACAGTTCCAAGTGACGCAATTGGAGTTCCCAAACTAAATGACTAAATTACCAAAGTTAAACCCTAATTTTTATAATGATTTATTCACTGATAGTGTATGAAATTCGATACAATTAAAACAAAGATGGCTTCATCAAAGCACACATTTGCCTAAATCAATGACATGTAGCAATCTTATAATACTTAACAACATTCTAAGCTGAGATTTCTTCAATTATTATGAACCCAAGCTTACCCTAGTAAAGGAGCTGAACTCTGATGCCTGATAGAATAAAACTCAATCAACGTCAAACCTACACAATCAGAGCTTCAGGTGTTAAACCATCTTCACTCGTATTCTGTACATTTAGAGAAACGAGCGTATAGACAAGTTCAGATAGAGAGAGAAGGACCGGAATCAGGTGAGCGGACAAGATCACGGTAAGTAAGACCGTCGTTGAAGTCCGGCCAAGGCTCACCAAACATAGGCGGAGAAGGACGAGCGGTTGTATCCGCATTGTTGGTAGACATTATGTCAAACAGTAGCAGGACTCGGTTTTCGGAACATCTCCGCAACATATATTGTTTTAAGCAGAAACGTTGTCGATGAATTATATATGTTTTTTTTCACCATTTTATAAATATTTTTATTTTATAAAACTCGTTACGCAATTACTAAAAAGAGTTCACACTACGGCATGTGATGTGGTTTAGAGTCCAACACGTAAACCGTACAAGTTTATTCAAAACGCAAAACAAACTCAAATTTTTTTATCGAGAATATTTTCGGTTTGTGTAGGTTGTTGAAGAAGTCTTACTCTAGAATAAGTCATAGCTAGCTTTTAGGAGTAGTCAATAAAGACTTGGTCTATGGGATGCCCACGTTTGCTTTTTCATAGCTAGTTGTTGCTTTTGTTAGCTATTCTTTTGTTTTTYTGTTGCTTTTCTGTTTCAGCTACTAGGCTATATATATAGCCCTTCTTTCTTGAATAAATGTGAAAAGTATTTTGCAGCTGTAAAACCTGTTTTGTGCGTTATTTACTTTACAAATTGGTATCAGAGCCTCACCGGGCCTGATAGAAGGAGTGTAAAAGGAGATAAGTAAGAAGAGAATAGAAGAGAAGAAGTTGAGAAGCAGAACAGTTTTTCAAGGAAAGCTGTTCAAGCAAATATGACGACTAATGATAAGAGTCTTCCTGTAATTCCACAATTCGATGGCGTCCACTATGACCATTGGAGCGAGCTGATGGGAAATTTGCTTAGAGCTAAAGGGCTATGGAGTCTGATAGAGAATGGTTTCACGGAACCAAGAACCGGGGTCGTGTTAAATGCTGATCAACAGAGGTCACTGCAGGAGACAAAGACCAACGATTATAAGGTAAAACACTTCTTGTATCAAGCTATTGATCGAGTAGTGTTTGAACAGATTCTTGATAGAAGAACATCGAAGATAATTTGGGACTCCATGAAGAGTAAATATGAAGGGAATGCTCGAGTTAAGAGGTCTCTTCTTAATACATTAAGGAGAGAGTTCGAGGTTCTGGAAATGAAGAAGGGAGACACAATCTCGGAGTATTTTGCAAAGGTAATGGCAATCACAAATCAGATGAGAAGCAATGGGGAAACAATGCCAKATTCCAAGGTTGTGGAGAAGATTCTGAGAACGTTAACCGACAGATTCACATATGTGGTCATCTCAATTGAAGAATCCAAAGACACGGATTCAATGACCATCGATGAACTACAGAGTTCTCTTATGGTTCATGAGCAGAAATTCAAGAGGGCATAAAAGGAAGAAGAAGATCAGGTGTTGAAAGCTACGCTAGACAACGAAGGATACAATGCTAGAGGAAGAGGTCGTGGCTATTTTCGAGGACGAGGCCGGGGAAGAGGCCGAGGAAGACAGCCCTTTAATAAGAGCATAATTGAGTGCTACAATTGTAACAAACTTGGGCACTTCCAGTATGAGTGTCCAAGTTGGAACAACAATGCACATTATGCTCAAATAGATGAAGAGGAATAACTTGTCCTTATGGCGCAAGTGGAGATGTCTGATGATGAAAGGGAAGAAGATATAGAGTGGGCCTTTAGGACTCACGTGGAAGATGAAAATAGAGCAAATGCTTGGTTTCTCGATTCAGGATGCTCAAATCATATGAGCAGGGATAAGAACTGGTTCTTAAACATTGATGAAAGTGTCAAACGCGTACTCAGGCTGGGAAATGACACCAGAATTGCAGTCAAGGGTAAAGGAAACATCAGACTAAAGGTAGGAAGTCTGGTACAGGTGATTACAAACGTTTATTATATTCCCGAATTGAAAAACAATCTCCTTAGTGTGGGACAGTTGCAAGAAAGTGGCTTAACAATACTAATCAATAATGGAGAATGTAAGTTATACCATCCACATAGAGGACTCATCATGAAGACAAGAATGAGAGCCAACAGGATGTTTGTATTAACAGCTGTTACTATGGCGAATGCAACACATACGACTCTCACCCCAACTTGCTTTCAAGCAAATGCCGAYGACACACTYCATCTTTGGCATTRCAGGTTTGCTCACTTAAACTACAAAAGTTTAAAAACCATGCAGTGTCAAAAGATGGTCGAAGGGCTGCCGGTTCTCCCAACCACTACTGAAGACGGAATTTGCACAGATTGTTTAGTTGGAAAACAACACAGGGAGAATATGTCTAAGACAAGTTCTTGGAGAGCAAATAAACGACTACAGCTGGTTCATGCGGACATTTGTGGTCCGATATCTCCTACATCCAATAGTGGGAAGAGGTATGTATTTACTTTGATTGATGATTTTAGCCGTAAAGTTTGGGTTTATTTTCTGACAGCCAAATCAGAAGCCTTCGAGTATTTCAAGAACTTTAAACAAAGTGTGGAGAAGGACAGCGGTGAGTCAATAGTTTGCCTACGAACAGATAGAGGAGGAGAGTTCACATCACTTGAATTCAACAAGTTTTGTGAACAAAATGGCATCAGAAGGCAGCTGACGACTGCATACACCCCTCAACAAAATGGCACAGCAGAAAGAAGAAATCGGACGTTGATGAATGGAGTAAGAAGCATGCTATCTGAGAAAAAAGTTCCCAAGAATTTTTGGCCTGAAGCTGTTCAATGGTACGCTTATGTTATGAATAGAAGTCTCACAGCTGCAGTAAAAGGAAAAACACCGGAAGAAGCCTGGAGCAATATAAAACCAAGTGTTGATCATTTCAGAGTGTTCGGTTATAGCTCATGTCCACGTTCCTGACCAAAGAAGAACCTAGCTGGAAGATAAAAGCATCAAGTGTGTCTTATTTGGAGAAAGTCCAGAATCTAAGGGTTACAGGCTGTATGATCCAGTAGCCAAACGAATAATTGTGAGCAAGGATGTTCTTTTTGAGGAAGACAAATCTTGGAACTGGAGCAACGGTCAAAACCAGCAAGGAAGTGAGACTCTTGAATGGGGAGAGGCTGATAGTCTTAATGAAGATACGATCAGAGAAGAGACGACTACAACCCCTGTGCAAAGTGTACAACAAGATGCAAGTTCAGTGGAGATGCCAACTGTAGAGCCAGTAGAGATGACTACAACCCCTGTGCAAA